TGTTACGTAAACTCGAAAGCTTATTATTCTGGAGCTTACTTCTAGAGGTACCTTATTTTACTAAAATAAATTTTAAGACCTTCCATTTATATTATGGCCTAAGTGGCAACACACTATCAAACCCATAGTAAATATACTATTTTATTTACGTTGATATAGAAAGAGACAAATCATCTGATGTTAAAACGGTAATATCATTTTTTTATTCCTTCCTTATTAAAAAAAATCTAGAAAGATTCTCTCTATCTAGAATCTAGAAGTCTCATTGAAAAGACACAGAGAAGATATTACGTCAATATTACAAGTATTTATACAAAATCAACTAAAACAGACCAAACTATTGTTTAGTTACTCTCCAGTAATTAAACAATAAGTTTCCAACCAAACTCTTACATGTAATGCAGCCAATATATACGTATAGTTATAATTTCATCGTAGCGTTTATCAGATAAACCTTTTTGAAGTTATACTTCTTTAGGCGCGTTATGAAAAACTGATGAGAGTGAAATTTTACGATGCACGCGCACCGTGACACAAAATTAACAGAATGAAGTTGCCTACGGAAGATGCTACGCATTGGACATAATTTAAAAACAACATTCGAATAATAATAGAATTTACCTTACACTTAATGTAAGAGAATAATAATAAATATTTATTTATTTAATTTCGACTTTGATTATTTAATTGTAATTAATTATGTATTTGCAAGCAATCAAAAACTATTTTAATAATGCCAAAGAAGTATAACTTCTTACGCGCGTACATAAGTACACGCACCCTTTTTTTATTACGTTTAGTAGGAATGCGAAGTAAAGAAAAATATGTAATGTATTATTGAGACGATTATATTTTTTTTAAATTAGAGTTTCCGTAACATATACGTATAAAATAATAATGGGGTAACACATATCTGTGACTATTTTATTTCCTTTGTAGACGTAGTTTGCTATACGAAAAGAAAACGATGTGTTTCTGAGCTTTACTTTTAAAATACATACAAAGATATTGCTATCATTCTCATGTATTATAATTATTTACAGAAGGATTTGTATCTAATCTAAGTAGCGACAGAGATAGTAGGCATAATTATATAACGAAATATTTTCTTACTTTTCATAATCCATGACGTAGAATCCTTAAAAGTAGATTACCATCGTAATAAAAGTAAATCTCATAAAATTTTCAATATCATTTAGCTGGAGTATATAATTTATTACTCAAAGTATTCAATGTGAATATCCTTTTAATGAGGCTATTAATATTTATAACATTAAAAGTAGGAATTTGGATTATAAAGGGTAAAGTCGGTCTATTAAAATTGTATTTTATATGGAAGCTGAAGTGTCGAGATTCTTTGACAAAAGATTATTCCGGAATAAATGCAACCCATATTTTTAAAACTTATTGTACTTTCTTGTGTAGATCACATGTAGACTTCTTATTCTGTAAATGTCAATTATCCAATACACTCACAATCTCACCTAACGCAGCGTCTGGTTCGATGCCGTGTCCAAACGTCACTTCGACAAGGCTAATAATAAACTAAAAGCCACCCGTGCGGAAAAGCCTATTCAGGCTAGAGTGAAAATCCGCCTTCATCGGGGAAGGAGATGTCCCCTACTTCGATCTCCACTTAGTCCAGTGAGCTTTCGTCCTGCCCTTCACGCAATCGACCGCCCACGACGGCCCAAGCCGATGTCCGAATCTCGCAGGAGACGTTTTGTGCTAGTCGTAGGTAAAGCCCATTTCAGGCAGAGCTATGTTCGCCAAGACAACCCGAGCTAAGATCTCAGGCAGATCCCATTTTTAAAGAAAGGCCTCATGCCGTCTTCGGCAATCGCCGTGTGAAGAAACGCCGTAAACAATAAAAAAGGGCTAGTTTTAAAGCTTACTAATAAATATATTCTTTCGTCGAAACGTTTATACTATTGATATTTTACCCTCAAATGGGGACAAACAATTCAAAGAAATCGAAGAGTCCGTATTACCATCGCAAATAATCTGTTCTTATTACTTAGCTAATAATTAAACGTGACAATACGTTATTTAAAAATTTAAGGCGTAGTTTAAGTATAATCCAGCTAGTTTAAAGGTATTTTAAAGTGAACTTTTAGATCATAATATTATTATAATTTTCTTTAATATTAGTAGTAGTGACTATTTTCTGTCTACTCTCATTTTTTATGCGCATAAGTATAAGATAAAAATCCCATTAAATTCTCCCTAAATATATATATATATATATATATATATATATATATATATATATATTGTGTTACATAAGTAGTATCTGCAAGAAATAAAAGGAATATTTTTATCGTGCACATTGATTGTAAAAAACGATTGAGAAAGAAAATCTTAGATATTCAATTTAGATTCAACCTACAATGCGCTTTTAATCCATCCACACTTAAGTGATTTTTAAGTGGCATCCTTAGTATCTCGTTCGAACTAAAATTGGTTCTTAAGTTACATTTTTAGATAGGTTGGCGAATTCACTTTGTTATTTGAAGTAGGGAAATTTTACTTTCCAAGCTATAAAAGCTTCTTTGCAATAGATTTATTCACAATGACAATTAAATTTGGATTTCATTTAAATTCATAATAATTTATGTAATTTATGTCGCAAATCAGAGGATCTCAAAATGTATGAATGGTGTTTTCGAATTCATTATAATCAAGATCAGCCTCGAGATACTCTGCCTTTTCTTCCTTAAACTATATTAAATTTGAAGGTTAAATCAAAAGACATAATAAAGAACAAACTCAATGATGTAATATGAATATAAAAAGATAAACAAAAAAATTACTGTCTACACCAAGTATGAAACAAGTATGTTTTACAAAAAGAATCAGCGATACCATGAATGTGAAAGCAGGAGAACATTACGATTCACAGACTACAAAAAAATATTAAACTAAACTCAGATTATTGCATATTATTATTTCAATTTTGCGCCTCGTGGCCAGGACGGGTCTTTTAGCCGTACTTCATTTTATAATATTTTTCTATCTATTACATTTTTGTTGTGACCAAATTGCAGAAACAAAAGACAAACAATGCAATCGTATTTTTTCGAAAAATGTACTTATGAGAATCAAAAAGACTAGACTTTAGCTACGCGCGCACTAGTTGCTTTATCGACAGAATATTGGGGTTCGGGTGACTTCAATGGAATTTATTAAGGGAATCGGAGCACATCGCTAAGATTTTAATCCAGTTAAATAATAAACCTGCCCTAAATACCCTCAGTGTTAAATATCGATCATTACTGAAAGGTTTCACTCAATGCGGTTCGTTAGTCTTCGACTGTGACGTGTTATTTTTAGTTTAAGAGCTGTTGATTTTTCATTTACAGTACGAATTGCTTAATACATTATTCCTCGATGAAGGGTTTAATACGATAATTTGTTAGTATGATTATATGAACTCGCTGAACAATTCAATTGACAATGACAGTTACGTTCAGTTGTTTCATTACTCTACTGCGGTTGACATGTGTCATAAAAATTTGGATACATATCACACATACGACCTAGTCTAGCAATGCTCTGATACCTACAAAAGACAGCTAATGAAAAGTCATTTCTAAGTAAAAATTATTTCATACATAAGATTAATATTAAATTATGTTTAGTTAGCTGAGAAACAGTTTACATAACAAGTGAGTACAAATTAAATATACAGCGAAAACTTTACTCCTCCAACTACCAGAAATTCCTGATTTTTTTAAAACATTAAATAAAAAGAACTAAATGTTAGAGATATAATGAAAATTATTATGTCATATTTATTTAGGGGCTCTTAGACTTATATCCTCTCGTCGTATATTGGATCAGACAATATTTGATTAGCAGTTGGAGTGCAAACTGGTAAGGAACGTGTTTTCTGCTTACATTCGTGGCTTATTTTTCCGTAACAGGTAATGCTAGACTTTATTTTTTATATTTATTATTTGTTTAAATTTTGTTATATGTAATATGTATAAATTGTCTTATGTATTATTCCCACGAGCATGTAAGTGCGTGCTCCTATTTCACCATGACTCCTGCTGATAGAGGACAAATATTTGTTTTAAATTTATTTTATTATGATTAATTAACTATTGATTACTTAAGTTGTCATGTGGAACATGGTGTAACGGTTGCAGCTCCTTACAAACATTGTGTAAAACAAAAATGTTGGCGATTAAAAAGAGTGACGGAGAGTTTATTTACAGTTCTTCTCTTCTGTACCTGGCGTAGGTACTTGATTTGAGAACTGGCAGTAAATGTAAAATTAGAAGCATTTAATATATATTTCTTTTTGACGTTCATATGTGTATATTGTGTTACCTATACGAATAAATGATTTTGACTTGACTTGACTTTACGTAAAAATTCAAATATTTGAATGTAATTATATAAGTGTCTGCATGTCTCTGTATATACACAGTAAGCCGTTGTCTAGCTTATTTAAAAATTCTTAAGTTTTGTTAAATTATTAATCACTCATGTTATAATTTGGGAGGTAAGAAAGTGAAACGAAATACAAAATTGTGGTTCGTTTCGTTTTATTATAATTGGTCAACAGCTTTTCTAGTCCAATACGCGGACACGCGCCATGAATTAATTGCGACCAATCACAATCAAACGCATCGTTCTGTCTTTCGTCTTTTGTTTTACACTCTTTTGATTTTTCATACAAAAGAGTGTAAGACAATATGGTTCAACTGACACTTACTCCCCTGGCTCTGTGCCCCTCAATTGTCTTGGCTTCCGAAACTGTGCAACTACTGTATATTATATTCACAGTTGCAAATTAATACGTGATCAATTAGTATTCTAACAATTCAAGCCATATTCGAAATGTATAGTCTTGGAAATCTAACTTACGACTGGAATAGTTCTAGTAAAGCAATATTATTCACATTATTAAACATCAAAAATCAATACATATTTTTTATTTTAATAAATGTATTAAGCTATTCTCATTTTGTAATAAAAATGGCACAGTTATGAAGAAATCAAAGAATTTTCCCGTGAAGAAAACATCCAAACCACAAACTGCGACCACCAAAGTCGATGAAAAGGTACTCCCAAACCAAGATTCCCTTGATGATGAAAACCAAGGATTTGGCGGATGGCTAAGGTAAATATCAATAATATAATTATAGAACGCCTGTTTTCGAAGCTGTATATTTCTATTATAATTATTTTTTGTACAGTGCCTAGATTTTGGTAGTTTGTAGTTAATCCACTAGAGTAGAACATTTCATGTACATCAGCTTTTACTAAAACACACTTCAAATCTTCAAACTTATATCGTTACCGCAACTTGCCATTTAATTCAAAATCACTTCTATTCAATTTAACTGTAAGTGAACTTTAAAGCAATTTAGTAAAAATGGGGTAATTTGTGTTGCCAAATTTACCCCCTACACAAGCAAGGGATGTTTAACAGGCGCAAAGAGTAAACAGCAAAACAATTTTCGTATCAACAAAAAGGGGAACTGGCTACAGTCCAAAACAAGCCTGAAATCGAGTCGGAACTGACAAGACGCCTTAAGACTCCCTGCGATTCGGAAAGTTCTCACTTTGAACTAACTTAATTGCATTTAGCTTGGCGCTGGGTTTGTTATGCATTTCTATTTGTTTTTGAACACAATTGAGCAATAAACAACGCAAATACAAATCATCCATTGAATCATGAATTTGCCCCCTTAAGTATTCTTCCTAGCATAAAATAATGTTCACTGACTAGCCAACTGATAAAGACTGCTTCATGAAATAGATACATAAATTTATCTGGACTATGACCCGGTTATGGAGTGATAAACCATTTAAAGGTGTAACTAAATAAGGGATTAACAGTTAATGTATTCGTGATTATCATTTATAATACATATCAGTATAACATATAATAATAGATTTTAATTAAAAACATATAAATTATTAATTTCAGATCAGCTGACGGCCTGGAGAATATGAAATTGTTCGTTATTGCGAACAGTATAGTGATACTAACAACACTGGTATACCCACAATTGCGAGTCATTTTTGATATAATATCTGAAACAATATACGGTACGGATTCTGAGTATTAAACCAGGCTCTAAAATCATTATATATTTAGAATTAATTTTTCCTATCAAGAACTCCTATCTTATCCTATCTTAGATATTTTAGAGGTATATTACTTAAGAACTTAGTGCTATTTAAAGATTGTACATCATGAGAAAAATGTATTTATATTTCAACATAATTTAATGTATCAATGTATTCGAAAACCCTCGTATGTTATACGTAAATATAATGTAATTGTTAAGTTCAGATCTTAAAAGGTTTAAGACATTGGGGAAAAACATTAGTACAAAAACTAACGAGTTATTAAGATTTGAAATATATATTATTAATTATTTAATTGTTAATCTTATTAGGAGGTGCCTATTGACTTAGTTTCCTTAGACATGTAATATTAAATATATTTAATAATCAATAAATCACGTACTCTCTACTATAAATTCAATTACCATATATATAAATGCTGATCAAGAATTGTACTTATTGTGAATCTATATTTAACAATTTAAACAAAACATCTCTGTAATATCACCAAACTTTACCGCAATATTGAAGGCAACTGTCCCGAATGTCAGTTAAATTATAAACCTAGTCCAAACGAGCTAATTCAATAGATCGAATCAATTTTAACCGAGATCTGGCAATTATACTCTCCTAAGCCAAATTTGATTATTGGTAATATTTTACTAAAATTAATACTGGCAACGATAAGATTTACTTTATTGATTTGATATAATTGTATTATTCGCTAGATTAGTCGTAAGAATATATCGTCGAAGTTTATTTGCTACACGAATACACATATAATATAATACATACCCACACAATACAGTTAATTAACAGTCTTAATATAAATTATATGTATTTAATATGTACAAAAGTAAAAACAATTATTGTGCTAATTAATTACATATGACCTTATATTTATTCCAATAAATAATTGCTATTCTAGTTTTCGACTTAGAAATATTTGATGTGATTTTAATTAAAGCGAAGTTATTATTTTACTATGTATTTTTAGTACTTTAACAGAATTATCACAAGTAATAGTTGTCAGTTGGATTTGTGAAAACAATTATTCCGTTTTGCTTTGTGAGACTTTTATCTAAGGATTTTCGCTTTTTCTTTTAGCTTTGACTGCGCTATCGTTTTTCATTGCCTAAGAAAACGTCCCCATTTCTAAGTAGGTAACCTATTTGCTTAACCTTTAAAGACTTTACAGAATCTAGACTTTGTAATGCTTACTACAATAGTTTTGTAAACTTAACTATAATCTTGCTAATTAGATACGATGTTGGGGTTCTTCTTTCGTTTAATATTTTCTTTAAGCGTTTTAGTTTGGTATTCATTTAGTGTATGGAATGTTATATCAGATTATTTTAATAAGGAATTTCGAAAATTACTAACAAATGAGTCTGAAGATATTGAAATGATGTTACACGATGAGTTATAAATAACTGATATACTCTATAGATATTTTTCTTTTGTGTACTTTGTAAATAATGAAATTTTATAATAACCTACTATAAATCACTATCACTTAAATGACGTATTATTCATAGATAATAGTTTATTTTAGGTCTGTAATTGGGCTAAAGATATAAAATGATTATAAATAAATTTTTGAAAGATTTGTAACTTTACTTCCTTGTCTTTTGTCACAATAGATATGTAGAACATTTCTAGAGATTTATATATTATCTTATATAGAAAGACAGCCGGTGTATTCACATCAATATTTTATAAGTATAAATACTAGATATATCTATATATACTGAGAGATCATGTGAACGTCACAGATCTGTGGTTGAAAATGCTAACCTAAAGATATAAAGACTTACTGACAGTGTGAAGTACACGATAAATAGGGTCGATGTTTGGTACAAAGTTGGAGGAAGTTTCAAGTGACGCTAAAATGGCGCAACAAATACTTACCAGCTTAAAAGGTCTTAGTGGTGAAAACTTTCCAATTTATAGTTTTTGTCGAGATTTTACCAAAGAGCAAGTAAAACCGTTGAAGCCTCTGCATTTAAACTTACTTGAGATATTACAGTCGCAAGTTGTGACTATTAAGTTCTAAGGATCATAAATTTCGCATTTATTAGAATTTCTCAAATGACGCCGATAAAATACCAATATATTTTTAATTGATAAATATATTGTGGTATATATATAATAATTTCTAAAATCTATCATCATATTTATTTCAGCAAATATTACTAGTATTTTTATGTTTTGTAACATTAATTACCAAAATTTTCATATATTTTACAAAAGACAGCTTAGTAACATAATATACTGTAAATATAGTATGATGTATGATGTGGTAAACTTCAATAAATAAATGTATTAATCCTTCATTATTTTAAATCATCTTTAACTAATGTAGAATATAACTTATGAAAGTATTAACATAACTGGACTTTTTGAATGCTTTATAACTCGCGATCAGCGTTAGACTAAAATTAAAGGTTTTACTTGAATAATGTAATAAATTAACGCTAAACATGTTTTATTTAAATTAGTACTTGTAATTAAATTGTAGCATAAATAATACACAAATTGTTTGAATGTATTTGACGGCGCATGCCTAGCGCCATCTGTTAAGAAATACGTTGGAACGAGATTTGACAATTGTCAGTCTGGCGGAGCGTCGTGTCGATGGTCAGCGCGGCCATGTTGAATTTCGTTTAGTTTTTCGAACGTCAACGGCGAGCGCACCACGTTTGCGACGAATCGCTTTTGTTACCAGTAATCTTGTGCCTTGTTGTTTTAAAACAAATTAAAAGTGATTGATTAAGTGATTCCCTAATTACTAGTGAATACATTTTAGTGAATTGCTGTAAGGGAGATACTTTATGTGATTTAATAACTTTTGATTGTGCCTTTGGTGATTCTTTTGTTCCTACCCACATTACAACTTATTGAAGACATAGCTGATTCTTATGATAAAAGGGCATCCGCCCATATATTGAAACATTTTGTCTATTATTTTGTTATTGTATTTAATTACATCCATTATACACGATGCTAACTCAATAACTTCTATCTCAGCTTCTAGATGGCGCTACTATTACCTGTATTAGATCCAAATAAGTTGTGATGTGTGTATGAGGGTACAAGACCCTTGCAAACTCCTCGTGAAAGCGCAAACACTCCTACATAACTTAATCGCAAATAAATCATTGACACTAATCGTCTCACTGTATAGAAGATTTTGACGTCTATAAACCTACCGAGAACCGCTTGGAATCGATACTAAAGGTCCTATTTAGCTGGCGAAGAGCCAATGCACACAGCTAAACTAACCTTTAATTATTTTACTATTTTTCACTCAGTAACGAAGACTAATTGTTGTACGTTTAGCTTCATTCCTTTTGTTAGTGACGAAATCCGTACTTTTTTTTATTGAAATTAAGCAGTCAATATCCTCTGGGTTGTACCTTTTGTACTGTTTACTATTTGACAGTTATAGAAAAATCTATTATTTGTAGAAACTACGACTTGTGTTTTGATTGGATATCTGGTTATACTTACTGTTAATAACGTACTCCAGTACACAATTAATGTAATGCGTATATAAATATCATGGCATTATATCATTAGCGTTTTAGTTTTTTTAATCACAAATTGAAAGTACACACAGAAAAGTCTATCCCATGTTTCATTATTATTGTAGTTTACACAACATCAAGGCTAAAAAAATAATAATGCCCGATTTAAGAGCTATAAAATACTGTATTTTCAATCATAACCGTTTCATACAAGCTTTAGGCACATTTGTAACAATGGAAGCAAACAATAGCGTTTCCAACAATCCGGACCGCCGAATATTAACATTCTCCACACCCAAACAGGCCAATCACTGCACTGCACAATATCTGTGATCTACAATACAGAGAGTACAATATATCATACATTATACTAAATGTAAATATTATTTTAATATCGAAAAGCAATTTTTAAAATAAGTACTGGTCGAAAAGCAGTTTTTAAAATAAGTACTGGTCATGAGGTTTCGGGTTGGAATTCGATACTAGCGTCAAATTATTTATTAAACGTCATTGCTCTTGTTGTTAACTTGAAGATATATATTTATACTAAAGTATCTCCGAACCAATTCGACTTAGGGTCCTTTAAGAAAAGAGCGTACCAATTCTTAAAAATATTCTTCAGACAATTCTTCGAGAAGACAATTCTTATCATTGAGAGTGTCCATGGGTGGCGGTATGCACTTAACATCAGATGAGCCTCCAGCCCGTTTGCCCCCTGTTATATAAAAAATTAAAGCAGCTTAGCTTAAATATAACTCACGCAGAGTAAAGTTAAAGGTCTGTAATTTATTGCATAAAAATAAAAGAAAGATTTGTATTTATGCATGTTTTCAAGGATGTATAAATTCAATCAACTTATCGGGACCAATTAAAACAATTACTTATCAAAAAAGTTAAACATCAATACAATATACTGTTAAATCAACGTAGACTGGACAAGAAGAACCTCTCCACCCTTGACGCCTACAGAGTGTTAAAAATATTCCACCTCTGTGAATTATTATCAGCCTAAGCGGTCAACCGTACTGTCAAGCATCGCTTGTGTTAATATGCAAATATGACCCCATTGTCTGCTCTAAATAATGGCTACTTTACTGTATGGCATCCCCAGTGATTGAGTTCAACGCAATCAAGTCTGCTTCGAAGATTGGATCGACTCAATTTGGTCAATATAACCCGTATTGACTAAGCAATAGGCATTGCGTTATCCTAAGATTTTTATATTGATACTAATAACCACAGAGGTTTTTGCTAGCTATTGAAATCTCTATGTCAACACTATAAGGTAAGAACTAAGATCGTCAGCGTGGGATTTAATTTTCTGTCCATTTTAAATAAATTTAAAAGCTCACTTATGGCATCGGGCTAATTAAATATATCTGCATTTGCTAAATTTAAGGGAAAGTTGGCAAACAGCCTGGGCTTTTATATGACATGGAAATCTATCCAGGACAGATGCTACGTGGATT